ATAATAACTCTCAAAATATCAGTTTTATACCACACTTTATACTATCTTTAATACGTCAAAAACATGTTGCTAGACGGAATTGGCAAATCCAAAGAAACCCGGCAACTAAAAAACTCTTAAATCAACTCACTAAAAAAGTTAAGATAGCGCTACAAAACCACCGCGTATCGTCTTATAATAACTATTTATCAAATATGCATCCGGGTGACACAAATTTATGGAAAGCATCCAAAAGACTGTTAAATCAAGATATAAACACTATTCCCCCTCTTCGTAAAGACAATCAACTAGTGACTTCTGATGCCAAAAAATGCAACGTCTTCTCAGAAATGTTATTCAACACGTTTTCTGTTAACCAAATCTCTAATACTAACAACGACCGTCGAGTTCTAAATTTTTTAGATCTACCCGATTACTCTGTCCAGAAACCCATGGTACACGTAACACCTAATGAAATTAAGCTAATTATAAAAAAATTACCAAACAAAAAAGCACCAGGAAACGATCGCATCACGAACATCATGTTCAAGAAGTTACCCGCTATAGGTCTCGTCTTTATGACTTCATTATTTAATTCTCTGTTAAGACTTGAACACTTCCCACCGAAGTGGAAAATAGCAACGGTCATACTTATCAAAAAACCTGGTTAGGATAAATCGAACCCGGATTCCTATAGACCAATAAGTCTTTTAACCTCCTTATCCAAAATATTTTAAATAGTTATTCACACCAGGTTACAAGATTTTATAAATAGCGCGGACACTATTCCTAAATTCCAATTTGGGTTTAGATCGAACCATTCAACAGTTCAACAACTGTTTCGTATAACAGAGCATATCAGCACCTCCTTTGAAAAGCACTGTCACACGGGTGCCGTCTTTATTGATATCTCAAAGGCTTTTGATAAAGTATGGCACACAGGTCTTATGTACAAATTAAAAAGTATAAACACACCAAAATACTTATTCTATATTATTAAATCCTTTCTTTCGGACAGACAATTTTCAGTAAAAATAAATGACTCTCTGACCTCCAGCCTATCACTGCCGGTGTACCCCAAGGATCCAAGCTGGCCCCAATCTTATTTAACATCTATATATCTGATATCCCACAGTCACCACGCACCAATATTGCCCTTTTCGCAGACGATACGACAATTTACAGCGAATCCCGTAATATAGAAGCGGTAACTCATAACCTACAAAACCACTTAAATGTATTATCAAACTGGTGTAAAAACTGGAAGATTCAAATAAACGCATCAAAAAGCACAGCAATCATTTTCAGCCTTCGTCGCTATTCCACACCACCACCATTAAAATTCGACAACGTGCCTATACCTTGGGAACCAACTGCAAAATACCTCGGAGTCACTCTTGATAAGAGGTTGACCTGGGGGCCTCACTTATCAACAAAACTAAAACTAGCATATCAACGTCTATCGATGCTTTTTCCAATAATAAATAAAAAATCAATCATCCAAAAAAAAATGCTCAATCCTAATATACAAGCAACTTCTACTGCCATTAATAACTTATGCTTGTCCAGTATGGGGGAATTGTTCGGCTACACACCTAAAAAAAATTCAAATATTTCAAAACAAAGTGCTAAGAATTATTACAAATGCTCCGTGGTTCATTCGGAATGAAAATATACACAAAGACCTCCAAATTGTTAAAATCGAAGACCTTATACGCACACTATCAAAAAAAATTTCATAGTTCATTACTCAACTCAACAGGCTCACTTCACTACAATCTCCATATTCATCCACCGTTCCAACGACGTCTAAAACGTGGCCGCCCTCATGACCTCATTATTCAAAATCAACCTCCAGTCTAATCTGTATATATTGTAATAGTTTGCAATTATATAATATCTCAAGTATCTGTAACCATACCGTATTCATATTGTAATATTTAGAATACTTATTTATTTTATTTAGTTTTATTTAGCTTAATTGTATACATCTGTCCATTTTTTTTTATATTTATATTTATCCTTTTAAAATAGCTACAAACTAATATTGTCTTTTATCCATAGATATAGATAGCCTGCAACGGCTAGGAATGTCTTATTTTATTAATAATATACCAATTTACAGTGTACTTTTACATTACAGTAAATTAATAGCTATTGGAATATAAAAACAGCATAGTTAACAAAACTTTTCAAACACCTATCAATTTAATTATTTAATTATCATAATATTTGTATGGTTGTATATTTTAAGTTCAAAGCGTAATAATGAAACTATGAATATATTACACGTCATCAATAATAAAAGAATTTTTTTTCGCCCTGGGGGGATTTGAATCCGGACCCCCCCCCCCCCTCGTATGTACGCCGCTCCGTATTGGTATACCGAAAATAATAATTTAATACGAAAAACCAAATATTGTTATACTTACACACACACATATACATATGCAGATGAATTTACGATTAACATAGATACCTATTACTATTAATTTACCAACACGTCTGTTCAACGAAATACACGTATAAGTACGTTTTTGGGTACGTGAAACAGTACACCGAGCATAGCGCGAAAATTCAACTTGATTCAATTATAACATGATGAATACGATAGTTTAAATGAAATGAGTTATTATTTAGACTAGATTTAATTGCAATGAAATTAAAATAATTTTACATCTTGAAAATATGACAATATTACATATGAAGCTTTTAGATTTTCGACAAAAATTATATCATGTAAAATTTAAAAACCATCGCTTGTCTCGATTATCATTGCTATCATAACGCATATAACTTTTTGGTTTATTCTATCACTCATAACTTAATAGTCATACAAAACATTGAATTATTCTCGTGTAAAATTTACGAAATCTGCTAGACAATATCAATTGTGTATTTATAAATTATAATTAGTGTTGTTACTATGACAAGCAAATTTACAACAATTTAACGTATTGCCACGGTGAATCCACAGCCCATCCAATTAGTAATTTGAAGTTAATATTTCCTACCATCATCTGTAAATTGTAATTGTATTGTATCGAAAAAGTTTTATTCCAGAAAATGATAAGAAAATATGGGTTCGATGATAGATAAAAAGGTTTTTTCCAGAGGAAAGTTCAACGGATTTCGCTTGCACCGATAAACATTTATTACATGTATCGTCTCAGACTAAGAAATTGTCGGCCGACTAGAAGACGCGTATGGATGGATACAACACCAATGCGTTTCCCGGCTTCCGAAGGATTCGGTAAAGATCGGTTCGAATCGAAAAACCCCCACTCAAAATCAACTTAAAGTAGATAGCGACACAAGTATAATGTTGGCATGGAGTACCCATAAGGGCACTTATGAAGTCTTAAGATTACCATATGGCATAAAACCAGCCACAGCCATATTTCAGTGTGAGGTCGAAAAAGTGTTTTAACACATTTCAATCCAAATTTACCAGTAGTATTAACGTGTGATGCATCTAATGAGGGATTAGGAGTTGTTTTATCACATATTCTTGATGAGGTGGAAAAGCCAATACATTTTGCATCAAGGGCACTAACTGCTGAAAAAAAAATTATTCTACTACTCATAGAGAAGCATTGACAGTGGTTTGGGGTGTTACTAAAAATTACTAATACTTAAAAAGAATAGAATTCACTATCAAATCTGATCATAAATCTTTACTGACACTGTTAGAAGACAAAATTATCTCTAAAATGGCTGGTTGTTGTACGTTTGTCTGACGGAGGTAATACATGCGGGCGTGGCTTTCCCTTAAGCTGGATAACTTGGTGACTTCATGTTCTAACATTTTTATCTTTTTAAGTTTAAAATTAATAATAATACAATTTATTATTATAAATTATCATGTATTAAATTTTATTTCGGTAACATAAGCAATTTAAGCATTACTTCTAAAGTTACTTTATATACAAATGTACAAGGAAAATAATGTCTTTCAATATATTTTTTAACGTAATAAACCAATTTTTATTTCATACTCTTTGTTGAATTATTTTTCTAAAATTATCTTTAAAGTTGTACACCTTCCAAAACTTGCCATTGATTAGATAAATCAGTAAACTCGGAATATCTAAGAATTAGAAACGATTCAATCAAATTTTTTTTTTTATTATGTTACAAAATTTGGGGCAAATGTACACTAACTCGCTTAAAAAAATCTTAAATATTTTAAAATAAGACCTTAAGAACAATAACAAACACTCCATGGTTCATATGGAACCAAAATATTCACATAAATAAAAATAACATTTGATTTGTAGTTGAAAATAATTGTTTTATTATCAGAAATAATAACAATAATAATTATATAATATTAATGAATATATTTATTTTCCATTTTCTATAAACGTCTGAATTGAAAATTATTTAATAAATTTAATCGTTTATTGGATGTACACAATTATGCATGTTAAATATTACATTTAACCAATTAAATAGTTGGTTATTAAAGATGGCATATTTTTCAATAATTTAAAAACAGTTTTGTATTAACAACAAATAAAATTAGTTTTAATACTAGAGCCACATTAACACAGCATCATTCCTGGTTCATTTTTAATTTTCTAAATCCAATGAAAAAGTAGTTCACTGACACACGGTAATTTAACATATTATATATATACTTTATTGAAAGAAGTATCATAGTTAACATTGTTGTAAACAAACATGTATTTACAACTTTAAATGAGGATAAGATGGCAGTTCAATGATTTAAAGAATATTATTAGTAACATTTTTTTTATACATAGTTTATGTAATTATTTAACATGTACAAGCTATGTAAAAAAAGAAAAAAATGCCAATTATAAGGCACACATTAACTATCAATCAACAATCAACAAGTGTCCGTTTCATGTGGCTATATAAATTAGATTTCTTATATAATAAAAGATCAGCATTTATTTTTATTTTTTTAGTTCAACATTTTTTTTATCATAAAAAATAAATGAAAAAAATTAAGTTATAAAATAAATTTGTATATATATATATATACGTCGCTCATCATTTTAAAATTATAAAATTATAATAAAATAATTTCAGCTACTCAATTATTTTCAACACTTTGCCAATAGCAATAGTTTTACCTGAAAATAAATAACAATAAATTAAAATTAATATTATATTAAATTCAAGTTAAAAATATATAACATTTATCTAAAAAATCTGACTATGATATTCAATATAGGATTAGAAGTGTGTTTGTACCTTAGAGAATCTACTTCATAATCCTACTTTTAAAAATCTATAACGTGTATTAAAAATGCTATTAAAATACAAAAAAAAAAACTTAATGATCATAAATTAATTGTATGATAAAATCAAATAAATCATAGATTCAACCCTATATACAACCAAAAAGTAAGATAATTTAGTAAAATTCATATTGTATCATACAGCCATTTCCAATATTACTGACCTTATTGAATATATTTTTTAATGGACTCTTATGACACGTATATTAGCTATTCGTGGATACTCGCCATTTCATGGGAATAAAGTACTTACATGAATATTTGGTATTTGAAAATTGTTATTCGTTATTCGAAACTTTCTTGTGGATTGTTGGTAAAAGTGACATGAGTCAAAAGAAATTGTATCACCAAAATATATATTCATTGGATCATTTCCACCATGCGACAGATATTTGTCATTTAGTTATTTAGTATTTATTGCTATCAGTTTTGTGTTATTATTTTATGGACTAGGACATAAATTATTTTTGATTTACTATTTAGTTTTAATGTAGTTAGAGTATAATATTATTATTTAATTATAGTAATTTCTTAATTATGTCAAATTGCATTTATATAGACGACCCATAGTCTCCTCGGCTATTTGATAGAAGTTGTTGTTTTATATATTTAATAAATCTAGTTTTAAGTTATATAGGGTGTAAGAAGTAGAAATTTATATGATTATTCTAATATTTGTATATATTCGTCAACTATATGAGTAGGATTTATAATTTACAAAAATACATGTAGTAAGCCAAAATAACTTATAAATTGTATGAATAATATTAAAAATTATTATATTTACCTTCGTCTCGAAGTGTAAACCTTCCCATTTGTGGAAAAAGTTTAAATTCTTCTAGACAAACAACACCTGAACATTCAAGCCTCATTATAACTACTTGATCTTGTTTAACAAATCTGGGTCGCATATTTGATTTTAATCCTGTTTTTCTATCAACTAAGCATATTAATGCCTAAAAATAAATTCAATAATCAATATTATAATTTTTTTTAAATAAATATACAACAGAACATTAAGACTTTATGTTATTATTTACCTTAACTTCTACTACTTCAGCAACACAATGAATATGCATAACGGCTGAATATCCAGCACATATTATGCTTTTATGTTCTAATATGACAACCTAAAATATAAAATAATATTAGTGAAAAACAATACACCAATTTATTATTACAATAGTTTTTACCTGTCCATCAAATATACGACAAGTCTTAACAGGATTAATTGGATCACATAAAATAAAACCAGGAGACACATCTTCTTCTTCAACACCTTTCAGTTTAACTTTGATATTTTCACCAGGTCCAACTGAGGTAACTTCTTCATCATCTGACCATAGTTGATCAACAATAACTTGAGTCTGCACAAACCAAAAAATAAAATATAATAATGCAATACATTATCAAAATGCAAAACTTACTCTATTAGGCATCAGAACAAGAGTTTGTGTCTTTTTGGCTTCACCAGATTCTACTTTTCCCATGAGTACAGTTCCCATGTCTTTATATTTTTCTACAACAGGCATTATAAAAGGTCCGTCTGAACGACGATTTAATAAAGGTAAATTGTCAATAAATGGAATAAATGCAGGCCCTCTGAAAAAATTAACAAATATAAAGTAAGGATGAAGTATTATTAATGATAAATTTCATACCTATACCAAGGGCAAATTGATTCTTCAACTTGGTCTAAAAGCCCTAAACCAGTCTGACCAGACACAGGCATGAATGTTAAGTCTTTGGTTACATTAAACCCAAGTTTTTTAAGGTATGGTAAAATTTTGTCTCGACATTCTTCATATCTAGTTTTTGACCACAGTACTGTTGGATCGTCCATTTTATTTATAAGCACAACCATATGTTTAACACCAGCTGTTTTTGCTAACATAGCATGTTCTCGTGTTTGTCCTCCTCTATCGAATCCTGTTTCAAATTCACCTTTACGAGCCGAAATAACCTAGTTAACAATAAAATGAATTAATTAAAATTACTAAGGATTATTAGATAGTAGGGCCATAAAATTAGTGATGGGAAGAATTAGGATATGTCGAAATTAAAAAAAATATGAATTTAGAAACTTTAAATAAGGATTCTTTTGCGAATTACTAATGATAGTTATTATCATTACACAATTTTTTTAAACTAAATTATTACATTTCATATTTATTTAACACGTTGGTGATGAGCGCCGTTTTTGCTATCTGTTCATAGCCTCTATAAAATGGAAACTGTAATAAAATTACTTGTAGTGACATCTAGTAAATTATTTTGGTACCAACTGATTTGTCTGATAATGGCAAACATATTTCTGTAATAGTGGTGGGTGTCACCGGTGATACCCACGTCTATAAATAATGGAATGGAAAATACTTTTTTCAGGGTGGCTGGGTGTCACCGGTGACACCCAAGCTTCCTAAGTGTAACTATAAGTATAGATATGTGTAGGTATAGATCTCTGACCAAATGTCTAGCTACCATAGTTTTCTTAGAAAAACCATAAGGGGGGTACCATAAAGTTGCGTTTAAGTTTCTCTTTGGTATGGCAGTTGTAAATGCATGGAATGTTTATAAAAGTGTCACAAAAAAATAGTAAAATTAAATAAAAAAATTCTGCGAAAACCTCATTCGTCAACTACTCAGTGCTGTGATTTCTTCAAAGTTGACAACTTCTTTAGTTTCTATAAAATTTGTAAAAAGACTACATCATTTGATTAAGATGGAAGGCAAAGCTGGATGTTAAAAAAAAAAAAAAAAAACGGAGAAAATGTATAGATTGTTATGAGAATCTAAGGTTGACATTGAACCTTAGATCATATACAATGGATGGAGTCATACAAATAATTTGTGAAGCCAACATAACAGTAGGACCGCAGTGATATGCGCATGCGCGTGGCATCTTATCATTCATTTTTGGTGCAAATATTAATTGATTATTGAACAAGATAACGATTAACTATAAAGTATAAGTATTTGTTAAGTTTCTAATTGCATTATTATAATAATATAATTAATTATATTGTATTTGCTATGTTAAAATGATGATCAATAACAATATTTCGTAAATTCAGAATTAGTGATGCCTAAATTCAATTTTAAGCCGAAAAAAAGATCAACATTTGATAAGCATGCGCACATGTCACCGGTCCTATAGTTATGTTGATTTCAACTCATTCTATAGGTGTGATATGCGATGATTCTATCCATTGTATATGATCTAAGCATTGAACCCATATGAGTCCAAGAAAAAAATGCAAAATGGTTTCAACCATTTGTCAAGATTGTGAAGAACTATATTGTTTACAATGTTTTCAACATAAACATTATCTCCTAATTATTTTTATACTTCAATTTCTTATTGAAAGTTTTATAATATTTTGTTATTTTGTATTAACATGGCTAAAAGTTTATAAGTTGATCATATTTTATTTATTATTTTTATTGCAAGGATGTAAGTTTAATAATGTTATTAAATATAATTAGTTATTATAATCAAAAGAATAGGTTTATATTATACATTTATTTAGGTATTTGAAATGCACAAATTATTAATTTTTCTAAAATACCTAGTAAATATTTAAAGTTTGACTCATTATAATCACTGACCAGAGTAATACTAACTTGAGAATATAGTAGTGAACATGTTTTGGTCTTAGTTTTTAATATAATCACATTTTGAATTTGGAAAGTTTAATTAAGAGAAGTATTATATGGGAATCACCGGTGATACCCAACGTTCAGTAAGAAAAACTAGTCAGGTGTCACCAGTGACTTCACTTGTCGCCAATGTGTTGAAGTTTATACAATTTAAAAACTAGTCATAAATATAATTTTATTTTAAATCATCTAATGTACAAACAAATCTATTCAAATTGTTACAATATGTAGTTTTAACAATTTAAACTCAATTGAGTACAAAAAATCAAAAATTGGATTTTAATATCTAAACATTCAGATTTATGTCACATTATTACATGAATATGATAAAATGTGTGTCAAGAATAATTGTTTACAACAAGTGACAAATAATACAACACATAATATAAATATTTATAACAAATTATTATGAATTTTTATACTGATATCAATTTTAAATATTAAGAATATAACTATACCGTTATACGTTAGTTAATAACATAAAACTATTTAATTTTTAAAATGTAACTATGCTATATTATATACATTATTAAATAATAAACATATTTTAAAGGTTATTAATTATTAATTGCTCTGATTTATTTATATTTTAGAGTGTACTAAAAATGCTTTTACTTATAAACAAATGATTTATTAATACAAGAACTTCATACAAATAGTTTTTTTTATTTTTACTAATTTATCAGATAATTCCTATGATAAATCCTAATAAGATTAACTAAGAGTGGCCAAGTTTTTAAAATATAAATTTAGACTTTTAAACGTGCATATTATACATATATTTTATTATTTATAATTCCAATGTGTGTAAAAAAAAAAAAAAAAATAGAGAACTAAGATTAAATACTTTCCCATTAATGTCAATGTAAGATAATCATAATTTAATAGTATTATTTATAATTGATTTATATTAAACATACCAAAACAGCCAAGTCAGCTTGAGCAGTACCACCAATCATATTTGGGACAAAACTTTTATGACCAGGAGCATCCAATATAGTAAAATGTTTTCTTTCTGTTTCAAAATATGCTCTACCAACTTCAACAGTTTTGCCTTTTTCTCGTTCTATGATTAATATACAAATGTTTATAAATATATATATAAATCAATAATTTAAATGAGCTTACCTTCTTGATTAGTATCTAATGCCCATGATAAATACCAAGATTCTCGGCTTCTTTCTTTTGCTTCTTTTTCATATTTATCCAACGTTCTTTTATCAACCATACCAGTAAGAGCCATTATTTGACCACCAATAGTTGACTTTCCAGCATCTGAACAATTAATAACACTTATATAGGTTATTTAATTATTACCCATTATTTCTGAATACTTATAAAAGTAAGATTAATTTGGACAAAATGACAAGAAACAATATAAATGACAAATTGGATTAAAAATTGGTAGTTAAAATAAAGTACTTCAGAAAAAACTACTGAATAATGAATAATTTAAATTAAAAAAAAAAAAAAGTAGGTTAATTTTGTAATAGACTATTTACCAACGTGCCCAATAATGACAATATTGATATGCTCTTTTTTGGGTTTAGGTGTAGACAGTTCAACGACCTTTTTGGGAGTAGGTTTAGGCTTCTCTTCATCAACCTCAATTTCAGTGTCTATTTCTATGTCGTTACCATCTTCAACTAAAGGTTTGGCAGTGCCATCTTCAGGGGTGCTAGACGCTCCGTCCTCCCAAGAGTCAAGCACTGTGGACGTAGCTCCTGCAGCACCTTTGCTGTCACTGGTGAGAGTTTCTCCAACACCGTCGGTGTCTATAAACAGCGAAAAAAACAGGTAAATACCGCATAAGGGGGACACGTCATAACCTTAAAACCGAGCGGTCACTACACTTACTGGCGGCGGTCGGTTTCTTGTCACCATCTTTTTGATCATCCTCACCATCGGACTTGGTCGAGAACGAGGCGAACGACGGCACAAACTCCGCCGCGTTGACGTTCAGCTTTATGAGCTTCTGTTGCAAATCGCTGGCACTCGAATCGGTCAATTCCGTTTCCTCCCACGAGTCCGGTGCCGCGTTGTTGGACATGATTATCTATCGATCCGTCGCGTGTTTACGGGCACAGATGACGATGATGCGACAACCAACTCACAACATCGAGAAACGACCGACGTGGACGGGCGGATAAGAGAAAAAACGTGTTTCGGATTGCGGCAAAAAAAAAAAAAAAAAAAAGAGAGAGAGGGTGAGAGAGTGAGAGAATATATCGAAATCACGAGAGATACGGCACGATACAAGCGTAACGCTGTAGTTTTCCACTGGAAAATGGTGGCGCCACGCGTGACCACCATCGCAGTGTAGCCAACACCGTTGCCGGCCTATCAACGGTATCGGTACGAGGAGACGGCGAACACACGTGTAATCACATGTGCATGGAATGTTACCGACGTCGCGTGAACGAACGAATATTGAATTCGTACAGCGGTTAACGCACCTTTCTGTGCCGTTGGTACAATGTTTAATGATTAGTTAATCAGTTCTACTCGTTTTCAAAGTCGGCGGCGGTCTCCGTGTTGTGCACCGTGATTGTTAAAAGATAAACCCGCGTTGTACTTGTGTCCAAGTTTCTTCGTCCCTCGTTTCCCGTAATCACGTAGTGGGAGTGGTTCGTTCGGTTCGTCGTAAACATTTTCGACCGTGCATAGAAGACGGAACCGCGCTGCAACGCAGTCATGTACCACCAAGTGATCTTAGTTACACGCGACGAAATGGTTTTCTCTTGATATATTAGGAAAAACATCGAAATGATTTAGTGGGTAAATTTATAAATTTGAATCTTACAAATAATTTAAGATTTTACATACCATTCGATTAAAATTTACCGTTGAACAATTTGTTTTGTGCTTTGCTTATTAGTTTGTTAGTTAGAAAACCGGTGCCGTACGAAATTCTGATCACTTGGTATGCATATGTCATGCGTGGTGCGGATCAGAAGCCATAATATTGGCAATACGAACGGATCTCCGAAGTCGATTAGGATTCTTTCCATGTGAAAAAATATAATTTTAAACTATTTTTTTCTGGGAGTAGTGCGTACGTAATCAAGTATCATTTTTGAACTGGAATCCTTTTTTCGAGTCTTATAAAAGGCTAGGGTGGCTCGTGTAGAAAAAAAACTAAACAGATAATTATCAGAGGAACAGTAATAAGTTGTACTGAAAAACGAACCATTACAAAAATGTATATGATCAATGTATAAATGTGATCGGAATAAAGTACTTGAAAACGTTAAATACTTCAAAGTCCATGATCATTAGAGCAGTGGTCTTCAACCTTTTTCGAATCGTGACATTTTTATTTTAATAATTAATAATTTAATATGAACATTTTTTGAATACGTATACTAAAGTAAATGAAATAAAAAAATGTAAAAATGAAATAAATAATTTGTAAATTTATGTTAACAATTTTCTTGTTTTAATGGGAAACTGCTTGAATTTTTGAAAATATAGTTTCCATATTAAGTTTTATACTAAAAAGTACTACTCTCAAATCTGGTTTTTTAACCAAACTTATTATTAAAAAAAAATCTGTTACCAAAAAGATTGAAATACACGTTTACGGTAAACGGCACGAGTGTAAAAATAATCAGGTATAAATAGTAATCCAAAAGGGCATTGCAAACGGACCGTTTTTAAGGGGTTCATTATAGGCAATTATATTAGTGCGTGTGTGCGTTGTAAACGATCATTAGTAGGGCTTGGATTTCATTGTATTTGCATCTTTTTTTTGTGGAGTATCTTACACAATGCTTTCCAAGTTACAAACGTGTTTCAAGTACGCCATGTTGTAACTACGAAATTTTTTTTGGAGTATTTTTTGCATTTTTAACGGATTTTATACTTTTTAAGGCATTTTTAACGTTGCATTTTTTGACCTATTATAATATAATATAATATAATAATATGACTAAAAAAAAATTGCCATATTGATATAAACAATGTACTACGTAATATAAATCATTTTCATTTTGAACTACCCGACTATTATAACTACGAAATACTGCAAGGAAATGATATTGCATAATATATATTGTATTCATTATTATATGAAACGTGTTCTTCATTTTAACAATTAATAAATATTTAAAAATACACTTGAAATAAAATACTAAATGAGATAAAACTTAAAAAATTAGTTGGAACGTAATTTATATATATTTTTTAAATATTGAGGATAACATATTTCTGGCACCACGTGTTCTAGATCGAATTCTGATAACATCATCTCCATTCTATTATGTCAGAAATCATCATCGTATTCGATTTTGTCCACACAATAATATACTACAACCAAAATAGTATATTATGCCGTAGCCCATAATGTACTACTATATTTATTTTATAGTTTTATAATTGATCTACCGTGGGTCAATGAAATCATCGAAATCGTTGAAAAGAAACGCTTCTGCACGCGGAACTGGCCGTATTAGTCACCGAAATCGCATGCGCACGTGAACAATTTGTAACGTTTGACTCTCCTCTATGTGTCGGATTATCAAGGTATACGTATATATATATATTTCCAAGTATATTAGACAGTGTTTTTATATAAATAGATGATAATAATATTTATTTATAAAATTACAAACATGACACAAACATATATAGCATTTATATGAAGATATATTACTGATTATTTTAGTTTTAAATGTTGAATGATTGATGGAGAACAGTTCCTCCCAAACCGCAAGAGCTGCTTGGCTTGTCCGCGGCAAAGTGGCGGGCGGCTGAACCAGCGGTGGGATGTCCTGGATTGAGTTGGTAATAAAAAAAAAAGATAAAATACAACGGGCAGCGGCACTGTGGATGGCAGCTAATGTTCGTATTGCTAGGGAAGTTGACGACGTCACAGTTGATGAAGTTCAACTGCCAGTTGTCAGTTTACTTAACTACGGGGAACTACGTTACATATAGTGATATACAACGAATTATATTCTATATGCATAGTACCCAAAGAAGTTCGACAGAACAACTGCGAGAGAGGAGATTTAGAGTTAATTCGGCCGGGTATTTAAGCGTGTCAGATCTGGATTTGTATAGCAGAGTGTAGATTAGCGATGTTTTTGGTTTTTCTTAGTTTTCTTTTAAATTGAAGATGTATTGTGACGCGGAGTAGTTTCGAGAAGTGCTTACAGATATATATTGATGATTTTTTAGCAGTGGAGATCACGAAATTAATTTGAAAGATTAGAAAATGTAAAAAGAAGTTCGGAAAGAAAATCGTCAGTGAAAAAAGAGCTCTCTATATTGGATATTAAATGACGCGAAAGGTGCGACGCGCCGCGCATGTCAAAGAGAGCGGGTTCGTCGGTGTCAGTTGCATAATTGGACACCGCTAGGTGGCGACACATACGTGGTTCACGCTACAAATTCAGGAAGTATGTTTTTTTCGCTACTTTTTTGTTAATCCTATCGATCAAACTAGCGATAAGGTTTTTAAAAATAATTTGAATTCGTTATTTTATCTACAAGAGATCAGACTACTTTTAAAGTTTTTAAATTTAAATTTAGAACAATCAACATTTAAAATGTTGTAAATTTTGAAATATTCAAAACAAATTTGTAGGTTTTAAAGATCAAATTTCAAAATTTGAACTGAATTAAAGAATTTAAAACAGTTTTCAAAAGTCTTATCGCATTATTCTGTCGATTGGTATGATTGACAAAAGATTGGTATGTTTTGGTTGAAATAATTGACAGTTTGCAATGGCCTTAAGATCATTGACCACAATCGCCTATAGTTAATAATCCTTTGTTAGATAAGATTACGCTACAAGCTTTTTTATTTCGATATGCTATTATACATTCGTAGTAATAAGATTAAATTAATACATTTTGATATTAATAATCATTTATTAATTATTTTTGGGGACCCCCGAACTATCTTTTGCAATCCCCGGTTGAAAATCGCTGTATTAGAGGATAATAAGAAAATGTTCTAGAGAACCAAAGTTGTATCATGATCGCCATATAAGCTCCAATATCAATATAATACGTAATTTAATATGATTGAATAAAATTATTAATTTGGAAGTAATGTAGGGGGGTTTATCTTCATATTCTCCAATCAATAATACTCAAATATCGAAGTGGTGATATATAAATATACTTAAAAGCCACTCCATAGTTGACGTTGCCATAACTACAACATATAAGTAATTAAAACTATTACTTTGGTCGATGAATTATTAAGATCACGCTACTTCTCAATCCTACAGGATTAGAGTGGTGTTGCAATTTTTACAAACATTTGCACAGATAGTCATCTCTTGGATCTATATGATAATACGGAGTAATAATGCACAGTGTCTATCATGAATACGATTATGGATGGCTTTATTAAATGTCATTAGGTCACGGTTACTTGAAATACTACCTCACGATGTTCCAAAGTAGTTGATATATTAGCGATTAAATGAAAAAAAAACATGGTGACAGAATGAATTGAATTAAAATTAAAATTAAATCGAAAAATCGGCTAAAAATATTGTAGAATGATTAAATATCGAAATACTGTAGAGTCAATTATAGAATATACATTTCCTACAGATTTTCATTAATAATAAAAATATGTTTGACGATGTTTATTAATATATTTAAATTTTTAAAGATTTTGAATGTGTGTAAGACTTATATGTCTATATATATATATATAAGATCTGATATATTAGTTATTTTATAGCATCACCAATGTTTTTTTAAGTGGTACAGAATATTATCTAGGTGGCACTTGTTCCATTTATTTTATATGTTAAAATATAATTTGGTTTACAATATAGGTACGGTTAAATACTTTAAACATTTTATAGTAATCATTAGATGATCAAAACTGAAAAAAATGTAGAAGAAGGATCTTCCACTTTATTTTCAACATTTTTACTTCAAATATAATATGATTATTTTTGTAAGACATAGCGACATATGCCGTTTTATAGTAGCCCATAGCTTATTGTTTTAGTAGATATCGTCATTCGTATCTAATATTATTAACGGTTATGGATATTTAATGAGGTAAAAATAGTTAATATTGTTGTTGAAAATCTATTTTTAGATAAAAACTTTGTTTTTTTTTTAAGCCTTGATTTAGTTGAACACTAAATATAACTAGTACTATATTCAAGACAGCGTTTGAGCAGGTTTAGTGGGAGGAATGCGCGAGAACAGATGAGTTTATATCGTTACTCTGGTCATCACTTAGTAGTGTTCTCTCGATGGCCCAAGTATAGGGTGAAGTAGAATAATATTTTTCTGCCTAATTTTAAATACAAATACAACACTGACTATTTGTTATTGAAAATTGGAGTTTAAAACATTAATATTAGATTGAGTAAACACAATATATATATAATCTATAAATGATTAAAATGAATATGATTTAATAATCACAATTATAACTTTTTATATTTTTAAGTACAAATTCTTTGAAATTAAACATAATCTTTTTATCATCTACATTACACAAGAGTTAACAAATACTATGAGCAAATCTATATTATGTGTACACCATTTTGTTTTGTTTCATCAATATACAATAACATTACGGATTTTATTTTTAATATTAGATATTTTTTGGCCTTGAACATTGTGTTTACCTATAAAATCGCACATTACGATTTGTCATAGAGATAATAAACAAATAAACAGTAACTGTAAAAACAAATATATCTGTATAACATAAAAAAACTCAATAAAATATAATATGTTCTCTAATGAGCTGGTAAAAAGGTTTAAGAATTAGCATAAAACTTAAAAAAAAAAAAATAAAGAAAAAAATTATAAGACTATACAAAACCACTAGTAACAAATAATAAAGTTAATGTGTTACCTTTTAATTTATTGTATTTATAGCTGTGTATTATTCCTCTCCGATTTATTACACGAAACATTCTTAAACTTAACATTCATTTTTTATAGGTTATGAAATGAATTTGACTTAGAATTATTCGAAACCACGCGATAATGATTCGTATTTATTAAAATGCTAATAATCTAAGAGACATGTCACTATTTAGTGAAACGTTAAGCCTATAGCAATAAAAATATTATTAGATTAATATAAAAAACAATGTTTAAAATAATAGAAAAAAATTAAAAATTAAGAATCGTAATGATTTGAAATAAATCTTAGTGGTATTATATTTTTGATTGTCTGCTAAAAATGGCAGAAATAGTTAACTGAGGTGTACAAAAAAAAACAAACATTTTGAAATTCAAATGGTTATTAATCGATTAATTAATAACGATTATGAAATTATTGTATTTTACTTAATGATAATATAACATATATATTATAATATATTGGATTCAATTTTGTTTTATAATTATGATGTTTTATATATTTTTTTAATTTTTACCAATTATAATTGCTTAACAATTTAAAAAAACAGCGCCTAGATGAGCGGGACCATCATTTTAATCAAAGTTAATGAAGATAATATTGTATTGGAGTACACAATATTAAATTATTGAATGAAACTAAAGTCTAATTAAAGGATATATTATTATTATACTTCCTATATATGTATTTTTTTTTTGTAATTTTTTACAATAATGTAAATGATTAA